CCTTAAGCATTTTCTCCTCATTATCTCTGTCATGACTTTCTATTTAATACCTTATAAACAGCTGTAATCGTTAGTTTAGAAGTCCTAGAAACACTTTCACGACATGCTACGTACTGACCGGATATGAAGGATTTTCAGAATAAAGCTTGGCATTGAGACTTTGAGAACTTCCGGGTTTTTTCACAATAAAACAGCTTTTAAAACTGACGATATATTTTAGACTAATTATGCTATTAACATTGATTTTAATTTCTAACACAAACTATGTGTCGAGTTTCAGATGACGCTTGTTAACACTCTACAGTGGGTATCACCACAAGTCTAGCAAACTAGTCAAGCCACCCCATCACCACAAAACTAAATGATGTGATCTGAACAAACAGTTACAGAGGAAACATTAATAATAGACAGTGTTAATCTTACTCATCCGCAAAGAGATGTTAATTCAAACACTGCCAGTTCGTTCTGCATAACTTGATGCAAAATGCGATTTTATTTAATGTTTAATTAACTATAAATCATTGTTAATTTGCGGAAGTGTCTATCCTTGTTAAGCTACTGATGCAGATAGAGGTCAATGATGAATTACAAAAAAAACACTATAAGTAAAGTCTGCAAGTAATTCATGTTTTACAAATTTCAGTTTTTTTATTTTAAATACTTACAAACCCCATTTTTTCTTATTATGTTGACTAAAAAATGAAATATGTCACTCAAACATGAACAGAAGTGTGAGCATTTACCCCATCTGAGTTGTAAGGAAATCCAACATTTTTTTCACCTAATTCACAAAAAGCCAACTAACGATCCAAAAAAATAAATCATCGGATTATTTCAATCAGATTTCAAGATGAAGACATAGTAGGGAAAAGAGAATGTGAGATAACATGTGTCATGGGGACAATATAATGTAAAGAAAAAAAGGTATATATTTGAAGAGCGTGGTGCAAAGAAAAAGAAAAGAACAAACCAATGAAAAACTGCGGCCTTCAGACTAAAGCGATGGAGAAAGGTGGTGTTGTCTTTGTGTTTGAAAGAAAGTGAAGAGAATTTGTGCCCACTTGCTTCCGTTTAAACACACACACTTCACGCCTCACACACACATGTACACACCTGTGCCCTCAGCATGAGTGGTTAGGGTTAAGACAGGATGAACAGTTTTCTTCACCCTTGCATTCTACATGTGCCAGTAGGTTGTGGCTAACACATTCACTGCTGTTGCTATTGAATTGCCTTTCACACGAACAATGAAATGTTAGTTACTCATATCCCTCAATACAAATATAAAGATTTTGAAGGGTCACTGGGTAACTGATGGAACAAAATGATATATAAAACACTTCACAGCAGCTTCAACACTTGCTGCTCAAAACATCCGGCGCTGTCTTCACTGGAAATGGACACAGGAAGTGATGTAAGTGCTGGGTGAGCTGAACAGAACAAAAGGGTATGAAGAGTTGAGCGTAGACAAAGAACAGAGCCACCTACAGAAAAATCCAACTTGACAACCAAAATCCAAATAAAAGAACAAACAAGTACAGCCCACACTGTTTATTTCCGACGTGGGGCTGAGAAGTGCTATCAGAAACAAAACAGTTATGACCAATTACTACAAATGTACCAATAAAAATGAAAGAATTAGATTCACGAGCTCCATGTTCGATGCCCATCTGTAGAGGTTTTCTAACTATCTTCTATCAAGCTAACTCAAAACATACAGAACACATGGCTTTGATGCTGAAATAAACTGTCCTTTATATTCCTATTCAGCATTTATAGCCTTTACAATAAATATCACTATCTGTGATGGATTGCTTCCGTATTGAGATGCCGTACACGTCCTCATGTGTAGGAACTCATGGGAAATCATCACACACACAAAAAAGTAGAGATTGTGCTTTGGCCATGGAGCTGAAAGGCCGTTCCACTTCCTCTTCCCCTCTTCCTCTTCTATTCTTCCACCAGTCGATCCTCCTCTCTTCCTCATGCAATTCCTCTTGCCATGGCTGAGTCAAGGGACCAGCTGACTGGGGATTTCCCGGACAGGTCATGAAACCACAGCCCGTCCATGTTGTTCTGCTTCGTCCACCTTTATTAAGTCCTGACAACTTTTCCCTTCTGAAAATGTACCTCACAATCTCTCTCACATTTAATTGGTTTTTAACATACAGTATGAAACAAGTTAGCTAGTTTTAGATAGAATAAAACAAAAGGAAACTAGTTATTTAAAGTGTGGGCATTCACTCCATCTGCTCAGTTTTGAAAGGAAATCCAAAGTTTCTTTTCACTTTATTCAGAAAAAGACAAGTAACAATGCGAAAAAGGAAATCAATGGATCATTTAAAATCAGAATTTTTGATAAAGAC